GGCACGCGTGAACTGAGCATCGGAGCACATATTCTGCCCTCCAACTCTGTCTAGCCATCCTGTGCGCCGCATACTTTCTGGAGAGAGATCCCAGTCGGCGGCGACGGCCCAGGGAATCTGAAGGGCACTAAGCAGGCATCCGATCCCGCGGAATCGACCAAGGTTTGCCCCTCGGAGCCCGGGCCCTGGGCGCCCGAATGAAAAATGAAACAAGCTATAGGAGAACCACGCATGCGCGTCACCACTGGCACGAAGCCATCGAACATAGAACTGCCTTCGTCTAAAGATGGGCATGCGCGGGCAGCGTGCAGGTACTGAACAGGCCTACGATTGCGAGTGAGAACCCCACTCTCCGCCCTTCATCCTGAAACTCAGCGTCGCTTCCAGGCGCCTCGTTCCACTGGGGCTTCGGGCGCGCTGGGTTGGCGAAGAGCCCAATGGATGAAAACCATGACTTTGACGCCCATGAAGGAAGCGCTGCCTTCCCACCGCGCGTCTCGCATACGGCCAAGTAGTCGTGCGTCTGGGACTGGGCCTCGAGGAAGTTCCAGGCCTTGCCCCCGCGCACGTCACGCCGCCGAAGAAAATGCTCGTCTCGCTGGCGTCGCTGGCGCGCTCGCGGTGCCGATTAGCCGCAGCACCGTCGGCTCCCGCGCCTAGTCATTCAGGCTGGCCCGACGCGGCCGCGGAGCCCTGCGAGCCCCTCGGCAGGGGCGGGGCGGCGGCGCCACCCGACGTGGCTGCGGGCGGGGGGGCCCTTTGCCAGCCGCCTTGGCTGCCGCGAACTTCGCCGCCGAGATGCGCTGCGCCTCCTTCTTCAAGTTCTCGTCGGCGCCCGCTGGCATCTGCGCGGCGGCACCTGCTGGCGAGGCCTGGGCGGCTGCGGCGAGGGCTGGCGCGCCTGGCCGGGCGCTCGCCGCGCCAGGCGCCTCCGCCGCCCTGGCGCCTCCGCCGCTGCCGCCTGCCCCGACGTCGCCCTCCCCTGATGTCTCCCGATTATTGAGCATCCTGTCGCGGACGTCCTTGCCCGCCTCGGCGACCTCTCCTTCCACCCTTCGATTTCGAACTTGAGCTGACGGAAGGCGACCTCGTCGTTCTCCTCGACATCCCACTCCTCGAAGTGGTCGAAGAGTTCACTGCTCATCTGGATGCTGATGGTGGGCGCCGCCCCTGCAGCAGCAGCGCTGATGGCGCCGGGCTGCTGGACCCCCTCTGCCTTGGCGAGCGCCTCGGCAGCCGTGCGTTTGTCACGCTCGGCCGCCGCCAGCTCCTGGGCCGCGACCTGTTCCTTGCCCTCCGCGCGCATCAGTTGCGCGCGGAGGTGCAGCACCTGCGTTAAGAAGTGGGAGTGTTTGCTGCTGGCGGCCCTCCACGCGCCGTCTGCTCGCTTGACCTGGTCTGCCGCAAGCTCCCCAGACTGCTGTGACAAGGCTGCGAGCTTCGTTCGCTGGGCCCCCCGGGCAGCTCTCATCCCCTGGCCCGCAATTTTCGCCGATGCCTGCTCGAAGCGATCCAATTGCGAATGCCCTCTGGCGCTGCGAGACTTCCGACCACCTGGGCTCCTCGTCCCTATGGCCACTGGTATGTTAGCATTGCCTTGCTGCTCTGTTCCCAATCCGACTCGTCTTCGAAGCACACCAGCCGAGTCTGCTCGGGGCCGTGTGGCTTGAAGAGCTTATTGACATGAACCTGGCAGTGTTGGCATTGCATCTTCTGAACTCTGACCTTATCGCTATACAATTCCCGCAACGCGTCCACGGTCTGGACGTCGTCGTTTTCGCGGAAGCGTGTGCAATGGGCGGTAGCACAAACGAGCGTACTCAAACACCACGTTAGGGCACAGTGACACACAGTGATACGACTGAAGTGGATGTGTTCGTGGAAACCTTAAACTTCCGAGCGAACCCCCCAGGACTCACCCTCAAGCCAAATTGGCTTGACGGAGGAGGAGGAGGAGGAGGAGGAAAAAGAGGGGGGGAGGGGGAGGAGGAGGAACTGAGCAAGAGGAGGAAGAGGAGGAGGAGGAGTAGCAGGAGGTGGAGGAGGGGGAGGAGAAGGAGGAAGAGGAGGAGGAGGAGAAGACCCCCAAATCCCCCGAGGACGGCAAGATCATAGAGCTGGGTGCCTCAAAGTGCTGGCAGCTGGCCCTGCAGCGCGTGACCTGGTCAGGCCTATCCCGAGACCGGCCCGGGAATTTCCAGGGGCGTCCTTCACTTTACAAGCTGATCGTTTTCGGTGATTCAGAATGGCGTTTCCGCTGCAGCGTGGGCTTCATTTTCGGATCGGCGCGTTGCTCCCGTCGTTCAGACTGGCGCTCCCGCCCCGCGCGGGCAAGTTGTCTGGATCCCTGATGCTGCTGTCCGTCTCGCCCCAGCGCGGACCACTTTTCTGAAACCGAATGTTTCTTTATCGTTGCCCCCATCATTCCCCCTCGTCCACCTTCCCCTGGTTGTCCTGCTCCTGCCGATCCTTCCGCTTTAGCTCCTGCTGCTGAGGTTCGTCCTCGTCCTCTTCCTCGCGTTCATCGTTCTGCTCACCCTCAAATCCTCCCCCTCTAGTGTTCACAGCTCACTTTGACATCCGATTGCGCGTAACACGAGATGGTTTTTCTGTGGGAGTCGCTGGTCACCTATGACACGCGTCAGCGGATACATGAAACCAACGACACGGGGCAGGGATATGAGAGTAAGATCAGATGAGGCGTGAGCGCAGTGAGCTTTCCCTTCCCCCCTCTCCTCATTCCCCTCCTCCTCCTCCGCCTCCTCACCCTCCTCCTGCCCCCCCACTTTGCTTCCCCCCCTGCCAGAGCACTCGTTTTTTTGTCGCAGCAGCGCGGCAGACACAACCTGCGCGCGCGTCCGAGCGACACCGGGGCGCGGAGTCGCGAATTAGCCCGCATGCAAGAGGGGGGAAGGATGAGAGGAGGCGGCGGAGGGTCGGGCGTTGGAAAAACTACATCTAGTGGGACCTGGTTTACTGATAGGTGCTGGGGGCGCCCCCCAGGCCCCGTTCCACTAACCGGAACTGCCGCCACCCGAAATAACACCAACTACGACAAACCTGGTTTAGTGATTCTGGCAAATTGAAAGACTCTGGGCCCTACTACTACTAATTGGGTCCCGTACCCTTATACCCTGGGGTCCTCGCTATACCCGAGAAGGGCGCGTGGGCGCACTCACTCAGCGAGGCTGCGGCGGGTGCGCGGTCGCTGCCTGGCTGAGGTGCCCACCTGGCAGCATCTGCGGGTCGGCGTCGCCCATGGAGGGGGGGCCAGCAACCACAGTGCGGGCACGGCTGAGCAAGTCGGAGAGTGGGAGCGGCTGGCGACTGGAATACCAAATAGCCGGCAGGGGGAAGGGAGCGGCGCGGGGCCGGCAGCGGCAGGGGGGGAGCCAGCGCTGCAGCAGCTGCGGGGGGCCCCATGCTGGTGGATGGTGCGGCGGCCCCGAGGCGGGGGCGGGCCGGCAGGGCACCTGTCGCATGTCGCTGGGAGAAGCAGAGGTTGGAGAAAAATATGAGCGCCACTGCGCAGCTGGTGCACGGCATCACGGTAGGGAGCTGCGCGCCGCCCAGTGCAAGTGGCGCGCGGGCGGAGCCCCGCAGAGCGAGAGGACGAGCCCAGCCGGCCGCCCAAGAGGGAAGCGCAGGGCAAAGTGGGAGGCGAGCCGCAATGGTGGTGGGCCCGTCGCGGGGCAGCGGGACGGCGGCCGGGGCAAATCCACCTGTGCCCGTAGACGCGGCAGGCGCCGGCATGACCTGGCGTGCGCACCGCCCGATGCGCGGGAGCGGTGCGCGGGAAGGGGCGGCCCGCTCAAGGCCAGCGCGCGGCATCACAGCCAGGGGCGGCGGTAGGGGTCGAGCCGCTTCGCGGAGCCGACCGGGGGGGGGAGGGCCGCGACCGGCGGCCGCCGGGGCGGCAAAGCGGGAGGTAAGCAGGGGCGCGGCCCCTGTGAGCCGCAAGGGCTGAAGGCGGCAGCACCTGCGAGGGCGGCCCAGCGCCCGGCTCGCTTGGCGAGGGGTGGTTGGCCAGGGGCGGGGCGGAGCAGACGAGGAGGGGGGGGAGACGACCAGGCGCGGCCGCGAATCGCCTGGGTTAGGCGATGCGCAGGAACCCAGGCAGCGGGCGCGCCGTGGAGACGCGGCAGGGAGCACCTAACTGGTGCGAGCGCTGGTGGGATGGGTAGCGGACGGCGCCCTCCTGGGTTGGAAGGGCGCACCGACGACCAAGACTCTGCCGCCCGACATCGCCAGGAGCATGAGCGAGACGCTAGCAAGGGCCTCGGCGGACTGCCCTACCTCGTCCAAGATTCCCAGCATGCTCTTGGGGCTTCCGTCGGCATCCAGGTCGGCAGCGAACCCGCGAGTGGCCAGGACCAGCTTGGCCCTCTCCAGCAGGCGCCGCTTGAACTTGCTGCACGTCTTGGCGCTCACGCCAGGTTCGAAGGGATGCCACCCCCGAGCGATGTCGAACTTCCTGGCCGGGGTCTGGCCGCGGGCCTCTTGACACGCAGTGCGGTCCCCTCTGGCCATCCGCAGCGCCTCGTCTGGAAGTCAGTGGCCCTGTCCAGCCTCCTGGCATCCTTCGCCTCCGCCAGGTGCTTGGCGGGCATATGCGCTGCCCTGTTGGAACCCGCGAATATTGGCCGATTGCCCACTCTCTGGGGACACATGGCGACAATGGGTCCCAGACCTCTGCAGTCGTCACTGGTTGTGCCCGTGCCCAGCGGCCCGCGTCCCGGGAGTATCATGCAGTCAGTGGACTTGGCGGGGACTGCGGCGTGGGCAGCGCTGCTCTGGTGCCTGTCGGGGCATTCCCAGCCAGCGAGAGATGTCAACAGGACCCCCCAGCCGTCAACGGCCCCAGGAAAAAAAGGGGGCCAGATAGTCTTGTCCTGGGGACACGAGCCACCCTCGGAGGAAACGCTCCTCCAACGCCCGCCTCCCGCCTCATCTGCTCCTCCTCCTTCTCCCCCACCCCTCCGCCACACTCCGCGGGAAGCCTTCATCTTGTACGTCGTGGCCCCCGACGCCAGCCCCAGGATCTGGTTCCCCAGGCAGATGCCGAAGATGGGCAGGGTCGGTCTGCGAAGCATCACCTCAACAGGGGAGGAGGAGGAGGAGGAGCAGGAGGAGGAGGAGGAGGAGAAAAAGGAGGAGGAAGGGGAGCAGGGGAGGAGAAGGAGGAGGAAGAGGCTCAGTTCGGTTCGGTTTGCGCGGCATCGCAGGTCCGCGGAGGACTCGCCGCCGCTCACACCTCGCTCATGTGATTATCGGCTTCGGCAGGTGAGGAAATCGTCAAGGCGCGTAATCATTGAAGAAATCGCTGCCCATGGTAAGCCTGCCTAGTGTAGAGGACGACGACCGAATGGGAACCAGGTGAGAAGGAGAAGCAGCGAGAGAGACCAGACGTGCAGGAGGAGTGGAGGCGGCGAGAGTGCGGATGGTGAGGAGGCGGCCTTCTACTCGTCGTCGTCGTCGTCGTCGCCATCATCACCATCATCACCATCATCATCATCATCATCAGCATCATCATCATCATCATCATCATCATCATCATCATCATCATCATCAGCATCATCAGCATCATCATTATCATCATCATCATCATCATCATCATCATCATCATCATCATCATCATCATCATCATCATCATCATCATCATCATCATCATCATCATCATCATCATCATCATCATCATCATCATCATCATCATCAGCATCAGCATCATCATCATCAGCATCATCATCATCAATCGAACCCCTGATCCAAAGCATCATCACCCTCCTTACCCTCTCCGAGTCCTTTTGCATCATCGCCACCATCACATTATCATCATCATCATCAGCATCATCATCATCATCATCAGAATCAGCATCATCATCATCATCATCATCGTCATCATCGTCAGCATCAGCATCAGTATCAACATCATCATCATCATCAGCATCATCATCAGCATCATGATCGTCATAGTCACAATCACCGACTCAATCACCATCATCAACATCATAATCAGCATCATCGTCATCAGCATCATCATCATCATCAGCAGCAGCATCATCATCATCAACATTACCACCACCATGGTAATCACAATCACAAACATACTGACCATCGTCATCACCATTATCATCCTAATAACCAGCATCATCACCATCAACCTCAACATCAGCATCACCATCGCCATCGCCATCATCACCACAAGCATCAGCGTCAGCATTATTACCGTCATCGTCATTATCATTACCATCATCAGCATCATCATCCTCATCATCATCCTCATCCTCTTCCTCATCCACATCCTCATCATCCTCATCCTCAGTCTAATCATCATCCTCATCCTCCTCCTCATTATCATCATCACCATCACCATCACCATCATCAGCATCGTCATCGTCGGCGTCGTCATCATCATCACCACCACCACCATCACCACCATCAACACCATCATCATCATCAGCAACATCATCATCCGTTTCAGCAACCTGCGATTCTTCTCCGCCTCCGCTTCAACCGCCCCTTTTCTTCTCATGCATATCCTGCTCTCACCCAGCGCAACCAATTCTACGATTGAGATCGTATACATCCTTCCGATGATACTGGTCATTGGGCCCCCCCACGGGAAATATACCTTGCGTGTCTCGTGCCGCGCACGATGTGCGTGCGGAGTTGCGTCCGACAAAGATGGCCAGCAGCGCCGGCGGAGTCCTGCTGTCAAGGGTCTCCCCCGTCGGCGTGAACGGGTTTAGCGGTGTCACAGTGTCGCCGTGTCGTGGTGTCGTGCGCCGCACGCGTGAGAATACCAAAAATGAAGGGGCGCAGGGACACACTAACAAGCACACAGACAAACATCCCAGGACTCCCCATGTTTTCATACATCTTCTGGAGCTGCGTCTTCCCCCCACATTGTCTCCTCCTCCTCCTCCTCCTCCACCTCCTCCTCCTCCTCCTCCTCCTGGGAACCGACGACTCGCCGACGTCTCATTGTGTCTGTGTGATGTTTCCCCCCTCCTGCTCCGTGCTTCACAATTGGAGCAGGCCATGTTCTTTCTCAAAGGGAGCGGCCGGACGTATATCCCGCTGTGGGCCTCGACTGGTCCACCAACGTGGCTCCAAGATTGCCCCCGAAGATGGCCGACAGCGGCCCCGAGATGGCCCAGGATGGCCAGAGTTGGCGACGGGATAGCCCCTAGGCGTCTCGAACATCCCCCCTGTGCAGTAGTGGGCGACGCATTGATTTTTCCGCTGCCTTATTAACGAATTGGGTCCCCAGCAAAAATTGGAAAATAGACACTCCCCCATGGAATAATGGAGGAAGTCTCAGGCGGGAGCGCGAGTCGCTCTTCAAGCTGAGTATGGTGTACTGTTCTCGGTAGTGCCCCACCTGCTTCTGCGGTGGCCCCACATGCTTCTGCTGTAGACGTAGACGGAGGAGACAGACCTCTGAGGAGGAGCTCTTTCCGAGCTCTTTCAGGCCGCCACGTCGTGGCACGACCGCGCGGGCGCGCGCTCGGCGCGCGCGCGCGCGGCTCCGCGCTGCCCCGCAGCACTGCACTCCCCCTCCCTCGGCCCCCGCCCACAGGGGGACGTGGCGGGGTTCAACCGAGGGAGGCTCGCGAGGGTCTGGAGCAGGGCGCTGCAGTCTCCTTCCTGGCTCCGCCTCGCGAGGCGGCGCAGGTCCTCCTCGCAACTTCCGCACGCATTTCTCGCATTCTCTCACGGCGGCCCGATCTCAGCACTGTAGCTGGTCACGTTGGGCTGCCGCTTCACTCTCGCTCTCTTCTCGCACGCGCCTTATCGGGATGCGTCTCTTGCCCTGCGTGCTCTTCAGGACCATATTCGCGAAGTCTGGCCTGAGAGGCCACGTGGGCCTGCCGTCTGAGCCAAGCAGGGTGAAGGGGCTGAACTTCCTGCTAGGTGTGATGCTGTACTTCTGGTATCGGGTCTCGAGCTTCTGCTGGTCCTCCTCTGGGAGGGGGCCCCACTCGCCGAGGACATCCTTCGCTTCCCATTGGGCCCCAGCGCTCTCGCATGCCCTGATCCCAGTGCTGTAGCTGATCGCATCGGGCTCGACCGTCGCCTCCCACTTCTCGCACGTGCTGTTGCCATGGCCTTGGCCTCCTGCCAGCCACGTGGATGCGATCACTTCTCGAGCCATCCACATGGCCCTGCTGGTGCCGTCCATCCGCGGTCCGTCCGCTGGAGGCTGAGATCCAGATCCAGCCATGGCTACGAGGAGCTGTAGCTGGGCACGTGTGGGCTCCGCTTCACCGCCAGCTTCTCGCACCTGCCACTGCCCGTCTTTCTCGCACGTACAGCCTGCGCCGTCCTGAAGCTGCCACTGCCCGTCCTTCTCACACGAACTGGTCACTCCCACTGTAGGCTGCCACTGCCCGTCCTTCTCGCACGCATCGACAGCCTCTCGTAGCTGCCACTGCCCGTCCTTCTCGCACGGACTGGCCGCTCCCTCTTGTAGCTGCCACTGTCCGTCCTTCTCGCACGAACTGTTCGCTCCCACTAGAGGCTGCCACTGCTCTTTCTTCTCGCACGCACCGACACCATCCTCTTGAAGCTGCCACTGCTCGCCATTCTCGCACGCACAGTCCGCTCCTTCTTGAGGCCGCCACTGCCCGTCTAAACTGGCCGTTTCGCAAGCACCTTTCTTGATGGTGTAGCTGATGACGTTTGGATTCGGCTTCGCCTCTGCCGTTGCACCATTCTCGCATGTCTCACGCTTCTCGCCACGTGTCGGTAGAGATTGCCGCTCCTGCACTCCCTTCTCGCACGCGCTGCTCTGAGTGCCGATGCTTTCGATGACGTCTGGCTCTAGCTTCGCCTTCCCCATTGCGCTTTTCTCGCACGCGCTCGTTTCACGGAGGAGGACGAGGAAATTGGGCTCCACGTTGGGCTCGGTCTTCGCCGCCCCCTTCCCACAAGGAATCTCTGCACTGTAGCTGGTCACGTTTGGCTCCACATTCGCCTCCGCAGCCGAACTACTTTCTGCTTTCTCTGATCCAACCGTGGCGACGAGGAGCGACGAGGGGAACACCCTAGTGAAATTGGGCTCCAGTTTTGCCTCCGCCACTGTTGCTTTCAACTTCACCGTTCCCTCCTCGCACGCCCTGATCGCTTCACTGTAGCTGGTCGTGTTGGGCTCTATCTTCTCCTCCCACTTCTCACAAGGGCTGGTCTCCTCTCGCTCGCTCCGCTGTTCGTCTTCGTGGGGCTGCCACGGGCCCTCCTCGTAGGGTCCTTCCCACGGGATGCCCCACCAGCCCCAGGCGTCCACCTCTGCCTGGCGGCGGGTGGCCAAGCGGAGTCTCCTGTCCGCGCGGCGCCGGCTGCGGCTCGCGGCCGTGAGGGTCCTCCCCCCGTCGAGGGGCCCACTCCACGGCGGCGCAGCGAGCAGCATCATGGCCGCGCTGGGGGCTCGGGTCGGCGGGCAGGGGGCTGCCGCGCTGCCGAGCCGCCTGACCTCTGAGGAGGAGGAGGAGGAGGAGGAGGAGGAGGAGGAGGAGGAGGAGGAGGAGGAGGAGGAGAGAGGGGAAGGAGGAGGGATGGGAAGAAGGAGGACGGACGAGTTTCTATTCACCGCCGAGAACTTAAGGGGGGCGGGAAGGGGGTCCACCATTAAAGACCCTTCGCGGTTAAGAACCCGGAATGCACAAGACGACGCCGAATAGGATCCGAAATAGCTGCGCGAAGGGCCCCCCATAGAGAAACATCGCAGAGCGAGACCGAGATGGTCCAAGAGGACCCTAAGAAGACTCCCAGACCGCAAAAAAGCTGACCCCAGAGGGCCCTGGCCGTCCTCCAGGAGGGCCCCAGCTCGGCACATGACCACATCAGAATCATTGAGATGAGATATGGTCTTTCTGAGGAGGTTTTGCGGTAATTGATCATCCAACGCTCGGGCAGCAGTTTGACAGAATGCTGGCCTCGGAGAGCCCCGGGACGGCCCCGAGAAGATACCCAAAGAGTCCCAGAATAGCCCAAAGAGACCACAAGCGATGCTCCTCGAGGTCCCAAAGTCGTCGGCGGCTGGCACATGGGGTGTGTAACTAGCGCGAGGAGGGGGCGGCCTTCTGAGAGGGTG